CAATTATGAAATTTGCTATTGCAGTCGTTTTTTTTGTTTTTTTCTTTACTGTACACCAGCAGTAAGTAAACAAATAACGGAGTTAGGGTGAAATAAGCTTTTAATCGCCGGTAAACTAAAAATCCATTATTTTTTTCTATTTATGATGAAATCTACTTCCATTTCGACTGCCGAATGGTCTTTTTTCTGTGTATATTTGTGTCAAAATATGAGATTCATTATGAACCTCATCATGATATCAGATGATTTTTACACGGGGATGATTTTATCATCATTATATATAATGATGATAATAGGATGAATTTAAACTAATTGGCATAATAATGTAGTGATATACTATTTATGCAGATTCCAGAGATTTATCCAAATTTATCTGAGACTTATAATTTACCATCAATTCTTAATTTCATAAAAAATTCAAAGGCTTTAGTTTTAAATGTTTCTAAGCTATGAGATTCGATAATTTCAATTAAAAAAACAAAAAATTTTTTTTAAATTACACGTGCAATTTTTTTGAAATTTTTTTTTAGTTCTAATTTAATTAATAAAATTTTTAAATGTCAGCTAATATTAAAAATTCATCATTTTAATTTAAGTAGAAAAATTCTTCAAATTTTATTTTTAATTTGACTAAATTTTACTTTTTTTTTTTACAAAAAATTTTTTTTTTGGTTCAAGAATTTTTTACTTAAATCAATTAATTTTTTTTGGTAAAGGTATAATAATAAATTTTTGGGAATTAAAAACTTTTCAATTAATTTTTAAAAAGTAATATTAATATTAATAATAAATTATTTTTTAATGGATTTCTTCAGCGAGGTGTATCAGCGGTTATGGGTGTACGTAATAAAATAATAAAAAGCTATTTTGTAATGATAAATAGTTAACCTAGACCCTCTAATATTTTTTAGTAATTAATAGGCATGATTAATAATTAATAATTGAAGAATTTAATAATATAGTTGAACTAGTTCTTTAAAATTTAGTGTAAAATTTGGATAGAAATGAACAAGCTGATTAATCTATTGAATTTAATGATTAGCTCCAAACGCAAACGTGTCGCCGTCAGCACCTGCAGAATTGGTAGCAGCTAGAAGTATTTGCTGGTGCGATGCCGCAGGAGGTTCCATGCCGCCTGGCGCAGTCGAGGGTGGCCACGATGGAGAGCCGCTGTTTGTTGGTCGTGCCAGTCATGAAGGCGCGATGATTCCTGGGAAGGTTAAACCCAGCCATGGGGTTTGTTACGTTGCTTGGGGAGGTGAAGAACATGGAAAATCTGATTATCAGGTAATTTTATTGTTATTGTTATTAATTAATTTGAGAAGGGATTTTTTTAAGTAAATATAGCAAGTCATTATCTGGGTACTATAAAAAAGGATATAACTCCTGAAATATTTATTTTATCGGAAAATTGTATCCAAAATTGTAGCTTAGGAAATTCCCCATAAAAAAAATATTTTTATACTAAGTATAAAAAATTTATTATTTAGACAATGAAAAAATGGCTATAACTCCTAAAATATCAATTTTAGAAAAAAATTATAATTACCAAAAATTGTAGCTTAGAAAATTTCCTACAAATAATGTAATTACATTATGGGGCTATCTTTCATATTTTATTTATTGTGATTTTTCATAAAAAATATAAAATATCTCCGTAATACGTTTGAAAACCTTTTTTTATTGTTTCAATCGAAAGCTTATTATTTTTTCAATCAAATTCAATGAAAATAAAATTTTTTTTAAATCGTTAATAGGATTAAATTCTTAACCAAATACACGGTTGATGGAATTTCCATTTACCTACACGAAAAGAACAAGATGACATTGGATATCATCCCAGATTATACTGAGTGAAAAAAAATTTAAGATAGTAGCTAGTATAATCCAGATTACAATGAGTATAATCCAGATATCACGCAGTATAATCTGGATTACAATGAGTATAATCCAGATATCCCACAGTATAATCTGGATTTTTCTAACTACTATCTGAAATTTTTTTCACCACAGATATCACTGAGTATAATCTGGGATGATATCCAGTGTCATCTTGTTCTTTCCGTGTATATGTAAAAATTACAATTTTTAAACTCAATTATTTCATTAAATATCCCGGAAACCTACTGTTTTTCAATTTTTTTTTTATTAATTATTAGGCTACGTAGATTAAGTTTACAAATTTTTAGGAAGTTTTAAAAATTTGACTACTTCGCGTGAATCTCTTTAAGTAGTACTGATGTAGTAAAAAATATAAAATCATTAATTGTAGGCACTTTAAAAGTGGCTACGACTCCTAAAATACCTGTTGAAAATGTTTGTATACTATAGGGCTATCTTTCATATTTTAAGAGATATAAGCTACTTAAACAATGCTTACCATCTAATCAAAATTATTATCCTAAGACCTAAATTTCTTAAAATAAAAAAAAACAATTATTAATTTTTAATCAACAAATTTGTCTAACAGGTTTTGTGTGGATGCAAGCCTCAATGGGTAGCAACAAGCGGTGGAAACATTCCCGCAAACGCAATTCCCGCTGGCGAAACCGAAGACGGCGAGCCCTTGTTCGTCGGTCGTGTCAACCACGAAGGGACAGTCACCATCGGCAAGGTCCAGGCTTCCCACAATGTTTGCTACATTGCCTACGCCGGGGCGGAAGTTCCGTTCCCTGAATACGAGGTCCTTGTCGGCCAATAAGCAACTCACTAACTCCCAAAAAAAAAAATAAATTCTTATTTAAGTGCTTAAAAATTGAATCTCAGAGTCATAGATCTGATGATAAATTTATTTAAGTTAAACTTGGCTTCCACGCACTTGCAACTAATATTAATCTTTAAGATTAATTTTTACATTGATCTTAATCTTGTCCAAGAAGAGAAAAGCTTTAAGCTTATATTATTTAATTACATATTTACATTTATTATAGATATATACAATCAATATTTTTCTGATATTTTGCAGAGTTTTTTTATAAAACACCGTTGTGGCTTATATATATATATATATATTTTTTGGAAATTAAAATTGTTGTTACTTAGAGTCAATAAAATATATTTAATTTCATTCATTTTTTTTTTTTTTTTAATAACCTGACATAAAAAAATTAAAAAAATTTTTTGTTTTATTAAATTAACAAAAAAAATTGACTTGATTAAAAAAAAAAATAAATTTTTAAATAAATCTATATTATTAAGAGAATAAGAAAAATTTTGTCTCCATGATAGTCACAGGATGAAATCTGCCTTTTTTTCAGTGAAATTTAGTGTCATTGCAAAGGTCTTGACTTGAATTTGTGTCTTTTCAAAGTTTTATATCATTCTCATCAATAGTTAATTTATTATGATAAGTATTTAAACTGCATTCAAAAATACTCTTTCTCTAGACACATAATTAAGAAATTACCTTGTTTCTTGTGAACTATTGATGAGCTTATATCTTTAAAAATGTCAATAATTAAGAAATGATCTTGTATTTTGTGAAATATTGACATTTTTAAAGATATAAGCTCATCCCGACGTTACACTCATCAAGAGCTTCCATTTGAGTACCCACATGCATTTTGATATATTTTCTATATATATATATATATATATATATATATATATATATATATATATATATATATA